TTGGTGTTCACTGGTAGTTCTGTCTCCGTTGTTGGTATTGCTGGGCGCGTTGTAGGTGGTGGTCGATTTAGGAGTCTTTTGAAGTGTTCAGCCCAGTGTTTCCTTTGCTCCACTTTTTTGGTGAGTGACTTTCCATTGACACATCCTAATGGCGGATGGGGAATTGACGGGATTGAGTAGAATATGAATAAAGGTGAAAGAAGGTTTAGCCAAGATCAGTGTTACAAGGAGTAGAGGTGTAATAGTGGAAAAGGGCAAAAGAATAAAAATTTTTTCATTACACGTCTTACATTGAAATAAATCAAGTCCATTATAAGTTCACCGACTGAACAAGGAACTTTTGTATTCAGAGTTCAGAATCAAACATTATCAAACAGATTAGCATAGCTTTTGTCACTTGAATAAGTTTGAATAGTATACCTTTAGCGATGATTTTTGTGTAGTCCATAGATGAGAGTGAAGTTGGTCTGCTAGTTCGTTCAGTGTACGAAATTGATCTTCCTCTTCCAGGCTAAAAATTAGTTTACTGTAGTTCAGTTTAGTTTATGTGTTCACTTCAAAATTTGTTTTTTTTTCACGCAAATAGCTGGTATAGACTCAATAACTTAAGGACAGCAATCCTGAAGAATAAGTTCTATCTAAAAAAAGCCTTTCACGTTTGTTTTGCAGTACATGAACGTTATGAATTAAAAATAAAAGTGATTAAAAAAACCTTCAAAGTCTAAAGAAGGCGGCTGTTTATTGCTATCAATTTTCCCTTTAAATAGTTTTTATTAAATTGGAATGCACTGTCATTGTCGGCATGTCGGCTCTTGGTACAGATGCTTGTCTGAAGAAGAACATAGTATTATTTGGTTGATGTCGGCCAGCAATAAAAATCAGTGAAAAAGAAATACAAAACAATCGCAACAAATAATGGCTAAAAATCATTGCAGAGTAGTTGGTTATCGTGGTCCACTGGCCTAGCGGATAACATTTGAACATTTGAGGAAATGGATGTTCGGTTCACGTAGGCACTTGTGTACCGCTGATTCATTGAGATGTGTAGTTTTATACGACTCACCTCAATCAATTGTACTTACTGGTCAAATCAGAGTGGTCTAAATACCGGATGACCGTTTTGCTCATTTCAATCCGGGCTAACCAGTGGTGTAGCCGGTTCGAGTCACCTAGTACAGTTGAATCAGTTTAAATAACCTGATTCTTAACTAGCTACTTGGTTGAAATGGCCAATCAATGTTAAGATCACTTCGATCTGGCAAGCAAACACTACTGATTAATGCCAGTAGTATACCACTACTCATGTCAGTCAGTCAGTAGTATATAGTTTTATGGATTTGCGCATGGTTTCTTTATTACCATTTATGGTATCGTGATCTGAATAACCTCATTTCCCAAAGAAACATGTGGTGGTGTTGAAATATATAGACTGAGGATTAATTTGCAAACTACAGATATGATTTAGGAAGAATACAAGTCCAATAACATGACCATGCTTAGTTCATTTGGCTAGACAGAAAGCAAAGCATCTCCATTATGGATAAGATTTTATTTTGATAAATCACACAGTGTTACACAGTAATATTAACTGATGACGTTTCGAGCACAAATTATTGCTCATAATCATATCAAGTTACTCACACAACTTCTTTCCTTCATTTATATACATGTGTGGAATTGACTAGATATTTGAATAAAAATCAATATGAGATAATGTACATTCAGAGATAATAATAATAATATGAGTGTTACTGATCAATTACAATCAGATGGAAAATAAGACGAATGTTCTTATAGTTATAATAAGTAATTTGTTAGAATGCTGTGATTTGTTTGAATTGAAATAGAATTTTGAGATTATTTATTATCCTCTTCTGATTTGACTCGTGGTAATAATATGAGTATTGTTGATCAGTTACAATCAGATGGGGTAATCGGATTGTAGGAACATAAGAATTTAGCCAAGGTAAGAATGGTTGACCCCGAAAAGATAAGTAATTTAGAAAAAAGCTCAGCAATTGCACTACATGCAATAACACACAACCACACAATAGGGTGGGAGAGGGTTAAGATTCTAAGAAGTAATCTATGTAGGTGGAGAGAGACATTGATTACTGAATCCTGGTTCATTGAATCTACACCCAACACATGCAACAGAAATGACTCAATGCAAATACCAGAAATATGGAAGATATTATTACCACCAGTCACATCAGAAGAGGATAATAAATAATCTCATAATTCTATTTCAATTCAAGCACATCACAACATTCTAACAAGTTACTTATTATGATTAAAGAAACACTCTTCTTATTTCCAATGTGATTGTAATTGATCAGTTACACTCGTATTATTACTTCTGAATGTACATTATCTCATATTGATTTTTATTCAAATATCTAGTCAATTCCACACATGTATATAAATGAAGGAAAGAAGTTGTGTGAGTAACTTGATATGATTATGAGCAATAATTTGTGCTCGAAACGTCATCAGTTAATATTACTGTGTAACACTGTGTGATTTATCAAAATAAAATCTTATCCGTAATGGCATAGTTATACTCTACCACAGTGCCCAAGTTTTATACTTATATCAGAAAGCAAAGCATAGCTGGAAAAGAAAGTTAAAAACATCAACACTGCTACTAAATTACCTTTTGTAAATAGTTTACTTTTTTTAAATAACTAATAACTAGAATGACAAAAATATACAAAATATTCAAAACATGAATCGTTTAAACAAGAAAACAAGAATTTCATTAACTTTTTCTGTGTGTATGTGTGTGCGTTGTTTAAAAGTTTGCCTTTCAAGGATATGACACTAACCCTTGGTGAGGATTCATTCTCCTAGACTGGATATGATCATAATAAGAAAACATTTTTGAATAGGGTATGAAATTGGTCATACCATTACAATTGTCATATGAAATACCATAAGGATATATTCCTTTTACTGAGGACTGTATTACAGGTACGGGTGCGAAGTAAGCATAATTGGAGTTTCCATAGCGAACAAAAGGCGCCCCTTTGCCTCGTCCTCTTGAGCTGTATTGAATGATTGGTTTTCTGATAATTCTTCCATCAGTATTGACTTCAAGAGGATTTTGACCACTCTGTTGATTGATGTAGTTTGAAGCAGAGTGAAACGGTTTGCTTACCGGCCGTTTTTCTTTATTTCTGAATTAGAAGAGATATAATTCAATGTGATTTTTATTATTTGAGATAACATATTTTGAATAAAGTTTGGAAAGCTGATTGGCTGGATGATGAGTAGTCTGGATAAAGCATTTTAGTTTCACTGAGGTTCATTCATTAATTATACGACACAATTAAATAATTAGAGCAGAACAAATAGTTCCATTTCTGTCTTAATCCCCTCTAGACAGTCAGTGCCAATTCACTCGAACGCGTATTATAAGAGGAGCTAGCAGCTTCAAATAACGTACAACCGAGATATGAAAGGGGAGCATATTTGTTTAAAATATCTTGATTGATAAACTGATAAGGTTTTTAATACAGCGCATAGTGATGCAGTATCAGCTAGTGGAGAAGTTTCAAACATAATTTACTGCACATAGTCATACCAATGATGAACCCCACAACCTTGAAACCCGGCGTTTTTAGTTCTAGTTATTACCTTCTCATTGTCACACTGATCGTAGAGTTTCCCGAATCCTCTGAACACTTCAGTCTTCTTAAATTCTTGCTATGACGTAGTCAGCTTCCAAAATCAGTCCAATGGTCAGCATATTCGATGGTTTCTATCCCTATCCGTAAACAAGGATTAAGTGTGACATTACCCTACTTCCGATAGGAGCAGGCTGTGGATCGAAGATTTTCACCCTTTAGCTAGTTTGTTCAAGAAAACGAGTGGGTTTTTTCAGAACAGTTTAAGCCGACGACACCCTTCACTGTTAACGAGTCTATTCCAAAAAACCTGAAATCCAACAGTACTTTTAAAGGAAATAAAAATTATGGGCGTCAGCTTTTGGCATTTCTGATGCAGATGATTGTTTTTAGCTGTCTCAGTCAACTAATCACTATAAGGCCTTACAGCCTCCCCTGAATATAACTCACTGATTAGCATAAACTACATTCATGACATTTCCTCTAAAGTTAGGCATTTCTGCAAGAAATTTCATTCAGCGAAACAAGATATTCCCTTAAGTTCAGGAAATATCAGTACTAAACGTATAAACGTCAGTAAGTATACCTTCATAAATTATAACGAAATAGAAATCTGTCCAGTTCAGTCCTGTCCCCTCTGTGGTAATCAAAAAATGTGTCTCCTTTCTTACAGAATCGGTCGATTAAATACCTTTATTAGCCCAGTGGGACTACTAACTCATCCTCACCACTTCTGAACATCTCTGGCGTCAAAACATTAAGTCCTGTTGCTTCGGCTTATTTCACAGACGGACTTTGAAAAGTTATCTACATTTGAGGAACCAATGACTGCGCATTATTACACTGCACAGCCATGACTAAGATATATATATAGTCTTCCGCTCAATAGTCCAGAAGTCTCTGCTCAAATCGTATTAACGTTTCATTCTTTCCACAGTTCATTTTACTGACAATAACTTTAATGAGGCTCGTTACCTTAATGCTAAGTATTAATTACCATTATTTCTTTCTAATTCTTTCACTTTCACCGTCCAATGTTGTTCATAATCGTTGATAATGCTTTTGATTAGATTATATTTTCGCTCAGAGGCAGCAAGGATACACTTCCGTGCAAGAACCCCAATGCTTTATAATAACCCCTGACTATGGTTACTGACTGTTTTAAACACTGTGAAACAGATAGCACATGGTAAGCAGGCTTTCCAAGGATAAGTACTGCTTTCATTCATTTCCACATGAACACGAACCTAACATTCCTATAGCAATATGTACGTGCTTCGCAGTTGTGTTCACTCCAGCAAACGCACACACGTTAAAGTACTGATATCCGACCGATTAAAATTAGTGCTACAATATTTCCTCTTTTCTTACTTACTTATTTGGTTCGGAAGAAAAATGATCAAAAAATGATCGTTTTTGTGTATCACTGCAATCATTGTCTGTTTGTTCGATATTTTCATGCCTTGCATCACCGGATGGTTTTACAGAATCCGAGATTTTGTTATTTAAACCTAAGCGAATATAGAACATTTAAAAATCAAGAAAAATTTTATCAGTCCAATAGGTAGGTGAAAATGTCTCACAATTCACTATAACATGAAAAGACTGAATGTAGTGTACTTCAGTGATGCATTGAAAGCTTTGCGTTTTCAATATACAGAGTGGTTTGTTAAGAAATACTAATGCCTACGAAAATAAAGCTGCTTTCTCTACTAGAATAAATAAAATGGTTGGTACATTTCAAGGTAGCGTGTAGCAGTATTTTGCCTTTGATTTCATAGCTGAATGTAATGCCTTTCTTTAGAACTGCTTTAAGTCATCTATACAGTCCTGCGATATCAATCTGATGAATTTTGAATACATAATTTATAAAAAAAAAACTCAATCACTGGCAATAATCAACTGATCTCTGCTGTCAAGATCATTACATACAAATACTTGCATTACTATAGTGAAAGTAATAATTCCATTTAAACTTTTTTGATTATTATAATTATAATTATCCCCATGTGTCTCATCATTTTATTTTATTGTTAATTTCTATTTCCTCAGAAAAGTCTTAAAAAGTGCCTTATCCTTCATAAGATTCCAGGCAAAAGCATTTTTGCATCTGCTACCTTAAATCAGCTTTTGTTCATCCATTTTCATTCCCAAATTATTAATACTAATGAAATTAAAATAATTTTTTGGAATATACTACTATTATCCAACTGGTTTTAATGGACTTTCTGTTAAACACAAATACAACTGTACACCTCTTAAAAATTATTCCTCAAAAGGAAATAATTGAAGTGAGAACACAAAATTTCTTAATTCTAACGAAAGAATCATTCACATAAGTATGATACAAATACGAGAATATCTGCTATCTGGATGCCACATGAATGATTAAAGAACTAAACCAGTTAATCTGGGGAAGAAAGCTTTTGATATCTTTCTTTTTCAGAAAAAATGATTTCATATGTTGTTGTCTTGAGGTCTTCAAAACAACTGTACGAACTGAAAAATTTTCAGACTGCTTTCATAACGATGAATGTTAGACTAAATTCTTCATGTATACAAAAACATCGTCAGTAACATGTAAATAACTGGTGAATGAGAATGCACAACACACGTCTAGTTAACTAACAAAGTAGGATTTTCAAGTACTGGTTTGTTAGACAACCACTGGAAAGCAGGAAGTGCTATTTCATCTCATTTTTGTACTTTTCAGAAGTATGTCTGATGTCAGTTCTCAGTCTAAACTGAGATCCATCAAAATCCCTCTTGATTCACAACTCTACCCTTGCATCTTATCAGGTAAGATGCCAACTCAAGTAAGTACAAAAACTAAATGATACCCTTATCGGGCCGCGTTCTGTACGGTAGAGTAAGTGTTAAGCGTGAAACTTATGACTTAATATGTAATTAGCAAAATAAATGGCTTTTTGATCTCTTATTTGTAATTTATGGTTACATTATCTGAATTAGTTTATCATTTTAGTTATTATTAATATTATTATTATCAGTTTATACTTTTTGTACATTTTTGACATTATTGTTACTACTAATGCCAAAATGTTGTTATTATGTATTTTGGTTACCTATACCCTCTAATGGTTTTTTGGTAGGGTAAATTGGGTGCAATACTGCTGTTTCATAAATACTTTTGTGGAATAATGTAAATCATTATTATTGTTAATATTACGACCTAACAATTGACGATTAATGGCCTTGTCATCAGCAACTGACAACAGGATACAGTTCTGGTGAGATGTCACGTACATGGGACAAATACTTGCCAAGAACACTGGGTGGCAGTTGGGCTATATGTCGCGAGTCGTCAGAAGTTAAAAATCATGGGCCATTATATTCTGTCCTAGTGACTGAATGGTTAACGTGCTCGACTTATGACCTCAAGGTACTCGATTCTATCCATTGATAAGGTCACAAGTACGTACTCTTGAATAGTCCTGAACTTGGAAAAAAACAGCTAGCCAGCACTTTCTAGTTTCTAGCTGTTGTTTAACCGATGTCAGTTAGTGATTGAAACTGAAATAGGACATACCAATATCCAAAGACTGGTGGTAATAAATATCTACATAGATGTCAGATTTGTTTCTCTCGATCTTCATTGAAATGTCATCGCAAATCTGGCTTACCATATGTCTGATGAAAGATATGGCTTTTAACGTTTCGCCATTCATAAAGTTAATTTTATTTCACTCTGGTGGTATACTTTAGCTTTGAAGCAGTAGGATCAAATATTCTGAACTAGACACCTCAAAGTCCATTCTCTTAACAGTTATCAGATGGGGCCATAAATGGATAATATACAGAAAAAATTTTCGGAATTATCGGAGTCTACATAGAAACAAATCAAAGTGCATTGACCAGTAGTACTCAACAACCTTTCGGTAATCTGTGGTTCTCAGTAGTTCTCTGACCAGTGTGGATTTGTGACGATCCTAATATGATACATCACTTCATTCTAATCTGAATGTAGGGAACGACTTCGACCGAATACGTAAGGTTCGGATGTCATTTAGATCTAAACAGCATTCTCATATTGCATTTGACCAAGGTAGATTTTACTGATCATGAATAAAAAGATGATGTTAACTTTTAATGTAGTCAACTAGGAAAACCAAACTTACTACTCTCAACTTTTCTTTCAAGACTTAAATGTCTACGTTTCGATGACTCTAACTGTTGAAATAAATCAGCGTTTCTCTCCATACTATGAAGAATATAAATTTAAAATAATATTCATTCACATTTTAGACTGATGAGAAAGATATTTACTTTTTAAAATTGAATTTGAATATTCAAATATTGGGGTGAAAGAAAATGCTTAACCAGAAAGACATTTTTCCTATGTTAAAGTAATCTATTCAAAATATATACTAGAATAATTAAAAAGTGTGTTGCAGATTCATTTCAAATGAAACTTTGAGAAAGTTCATATAAGCTGAATTAGTGAGTGTTTAATGGATTCACTTATTGATGCGCATAAATTGACTGCTATGTAGCACTGATGGTCAACAGCAGACGTACAATACGAGCATAATTCAATGCTAGAATGCTCACCAGCCAGGCAGGCCTTCCTGGGTAAATTCTAGGATGATGCCCTCCTAAACCTAGCCTTGTAAAAGAGGGGAGAATAAGCGTGAGGCTAGCAGACCGATGAAATGAAAACAACATTACCACTACGGGGACTTCAAAGCTTGTAGTTCAACGTTCTACTCGTAAGGTGTGAAATGAAAAATAAGCTGAGGTTTACTAAAAGGAAACATCTGAATTGAAGATTCCATATATATTTTGGAAAGTGGTTTGACATTGCTTTTGATATTTATGAGTCATACATTATGGCATCTGTGTGCTCTGAGATTCACCCTAATATGAGCACTTTTTATTCAAACGGCAGCTTCAAATTCAAAACCCTGAGATTTTGTATATTCTGAATTTAATACTTAACTCTGGTTTCAACAGTGTTTCCTTGTCCTCAAAAAATACAAATTACTGGATTTTCCTACTACCTCCTATAACTAGTTGTATTCATCAGCTATTTGAGGCTGTCTGGAATTGTTTTAAAACAAGTAGATTTTGAATCCAATGAAGTGTAAACTCAAGACCATCCTTAGTAGCCTCACCAACAATCACTAGCTTGTTTCTCTCCTTCTAGCTTGATATGATTAGAATTGACAGCGCTGGGCTGGCAGTTCTGCCACTGCTTAAATTACCATTTCAGCTTGAATCACTATCCGTTACATGGAAAGCAGTCCGCCAACACAAGATAATTCTAGGTAACCTCACGATGGGTTATTGGAGAAACAAGCATTAAAATCTCTTATGAGTAATAAATGTGTTCAATGACCCATGTTATTACTCATGTAGAACAGTGTGCAAACTGCACTGTTTCAAGTTGTGATGCTTTGTAAAGACATGTAAAATTAAAGGACGTGAAAATTAAGCAGAAAAAAATGTAAGACTGAAAGTACAATCAGATGACTATTGAGGAATTTCAGAATCTGGAAGACTAAAAGGACTGAATACATCTGTGCCAATGGAAACACTTTTTAGTCATGTCACCAACAGTCTCTAACCATTGTCTGCTAGCATCCAAAGGATCTCAGCTTAACAGTCTACATAGTATACATGGTTCAAACCAACAGGGAAAGATGGAATGGGTTGATGTTATGCTTTGAGTTGACCACTCTTATCGGCTAATCGTACTTGCTGAAAAGATGGCGATTTATATGCGTAAAATGTGTCCAAGTCGTGTCATCTGGTGAACCTTCACAACCAATAATGATTCACTTTCTTCCATTATCGAATACTGTATGCCTAGCCTTATTACTACCGGTCATTTCTCGCTACCCAGCATTAATGCTTGAATGTAGGTGAAAATGGAGGAAAACCGGCAGTATTTCCATACCTCCCATTTCCTAAAGCTTTGTCTCACAACCGTAAAACAAAGTGGAGTAAACTGCTTCTAGGAGGACATACTCTTTGGTATGCAGCCGGACATCACACCTGCTCCAAAGAAGACGCAAGCTAGCCAAATTAAAACCACCATTCTGTATCCATGCTCGGATTTCACCAGGGTTCAGTTCATTAGGGATGATGCGACCACTGAAACCAGTGGAGCGGTCAATACATCCAACCATTTCATTCCCTGTACTTAAATTAAGGGTCTGTGTAAACCAGTCCTGCGGCAGCACCTTACGTTTGACAGAGTCAAACCGTATGCCAAACATAAGGTTCCTTCTCAGTGTGTCTGGAGAAGTATTTTTGCCAGCGCCTCCACTGAAAATGATAGTATCATCTCCTTAGATCGACAAGATACATCCTCCATAACAAATTATTAAGGTACATACGATAAGAATAAAGATAATTAACATGATATTTAAGGGAGTAAAGTCGAATTGAATGAATTACAAAACTTTTAAATATTGCTGAATAAGTTAATTGATATTGGGATTTTAAAAGCGGGCCAATTATCGTCAAAAAAATGAAAGTGCGATGATGGTAGCAATAGAGTAGGCGTAGATAGATTTAAGTGGAATGAATTCAAGTGGTAAAGTAGGATACAAATAAAAAGAACATTATTATGATCTGGGTGGATAGAGGGCTGTAATAAAACGTTTTCAGATACATATTTCAGGTTTTTGTCCACATATAGCTAGATACTGTGCTGTACGCAAGTGGAGAAAGAGTAAATTTTTGGAATGACTGGATTCAGCCCTATTGAACTGTCTAAAGTTTAAGTCACGTTAAGATGAACGATCTAACTCCAGAAGGTTTTCACAAATGGAATACTTTGTCATCTTCTGTTTGCCATTCATCGATCAAACCGGGTAGTATGTTCAGCTACGTGTTTGCGGAAAACACGCTTACAACATCCAATGTAGTCAGCTCCACAACAGCACGTGAAAGAGCATGTGCACAAATCGTCAATGACAACATATAAGTCTGCAGGGATTACATTCATCTACAAGCTTATAATGAAATGAAATATAAATGTTGACCATGGGTATCCCTAACAATCACTGCTAGTTGTCCTTACCTCAGATGATGAGTGTTCGTGAGCTTCTACAGGACTAATGGAGTTCTAGTGGAGAGATTCGACGAGGTCGAATGGCGCCTTAATGTTAAAGAATAAGTTAGTTGTTGAACTCGGATAAGTACGCTTATATTGCAAAATCTGCTGAAGTGTGAGTATGTGATCTAGACACCGAGCCCGAGGATCACCTAGCGTTCTTGAGATTGTTTTCGACAAGTCATACTTAGCCTTCGTAGGACTATGGAGCCTTCAGCCGGGGGTACCACTTCATGCAAGCTATTCCCACTGTGACTACCACAGGAGTATTTGTCTCCTGTCTTGTAAACTGGGGAAGTCTACTATCTACATTAGCGCATTAAGACTATCTCAGAGTCCCACATACTAGCTACCAACAGAGTCAATCTAGTCACAGATTTATCATTACCATCCTTAAAGACCCCCAATAAATTTAGTAATTTTTCATTTTCAAAATATTTAGTCAACCAATCAGTAAACACTGCATATTGCTCATCGCTGAAGCCCTTGTGCCTCATTCCGAATGCAAGGAAACAGTTAATATCAATAATATTCACATACAGTTCTTTGAAATATAGAAATCTAACTTCTTCATGGATTGAAATTATGTCCACGGTTTCTAACCAGTCGATTTAAAAAGCAAAACAAACCTTTTTGACTTATTTTTTCTCCCAAGTGAATTGTGAGATGCACCATTTAAATTTCTCCATACCATCCTTTGATTTGAAGCTGTCGTATTTTGTGCTCCCTTATCTAGAAAATAACGGTGACTTAATGAATGGTTGATATCTCACTTTGGTTTGGTTGATTTCTGCATAGCTTTGTTGAAGATATTGTGTCAAATGATACTATACTGTTGGATGCGATGTCTGTGCGATTCACTTTTACAATTCCTGGATCATGATTCGCCGAACTAATAAAGTAATGAAATTTTTTAAAAATAGACTGTAATCAGTTTTATTGGCAGTGGCCTTTTATTTGATATAATATTGTTTTGAGTGTATTCTATTACTACATGTGCAATAAATTACTGACTAATGAAAGTAATCATACGCATCAATAACTTCTATTGCTTGCCCAACGTTGCAAACTATGGATAAATTTGTCTTTGGTACAGTTACTTGATGTAGGTGACAACTTTTCGAAGATTTTAATTAGATTTATTAACACCTATGCACCACTTTCGTCATTAGCCACAGCGTGAATTCATCAATATTAAATATTTTTCCGATTATATAAAAAATGTACCTATCCGAGATTTTCTTGGCCTAAGAAACATCATCAGTGGCTTACAAAATGTTTTTTACTTTATGTTTCCTTTGTGCCACTTCTAAAGGCCCATCTCGACATTTCGTAATTCGGTTCCACTCAAGAAAATGGCATGTTATGTGACTTAATGGTTTCCTCAAAGTTTCTAAACAGTATCAGTTTCCTTCAACATATTTGTTGGACGATAGGTACTACGTTGATTTGATGCTAGAGTTCCAGGTTGCTTGTCCTTACCTGTTGGTCTCCTGACCTTTAGTATGTGACGAAGCAAGTGCTGCTTAAGGTCTGCAGCAAGTTGTTGAGAATGCTTTTCGTGATTCACCGAATCTGTGAACCATATAGGGGCAGTGATTTGACATCAGTGTTGAAAATCTGGATCTTGTTCCTCATCATGAGCACTGCAGATTTCTACAGTGATTTCAGAGTAATGTACGCCAGTTTTGCTTTTCCCGTCCTGGCTTTAGTATCCTCTTCTATGCCATTAATAGTTCGAACGATGCTGTTTAAGTAACTGAAAGAGATAACGTCTTTTAGATTCCGTTCATTGGTGGTGACTGAAGCTTGTTGCTATTGGTTGGGTATTTTCATCATCCTTATCTTCTCTGTTTTCACCTTAAGTCTTCTTGTGGCTGCCTTTTCCACCATACTGTGGAATTTTGTCTGTAGATCTTCCAGTATGTGTGAGATTTGATATAAGTTACCCACTCACGTCTACTAGTAGTGTTAGCCAACCCCATCGAATTAAATCTAAAGACAAAAGATTTCCTTCTCTCGTTTAGTCCGGAGATCACCACTGGTTTGCCATATTGACTTAACTCAACGATCTGAACCAATCACAATAACTGTTCTGCTTAATGTCATAAATAGAGATCAGGAAAGGAAGTAAAGTTATATGATGACATTTACTGATTGTGAATACGAGTAGTTAGAACTCACTTGCGTCTAACAGTAACGCTAGCTAGCTTTATTAAAATGTTTATTATAAAAAATAAGCACAAGTGGAAATAATGCAGATATCTTGGTGTAATCAGTAAACTTTCTAAAATTTCTTATCAATTGGGCACTTTCAAAAATCGCAAAAGAATGCACAGTTAACATGTTAAAATATACAAAGTTGAAAAACCATCAGCACATTAGTAGTTACAGGTAACAAATTAATCCCCTTTTACTTGTCCGTTATAGGGTAGTCAGACGAAAAATTTTAAACTGTTGGCTTTTATCCAGAACTTAAGGGTGTATTAAAAAACGGCGAATATCGGCAACGGTTTGTCTCTCCAAACCATTTCAATCGAACACAATGTTTTCACTTTCTACCAATTTGTGAAGTAAGGAATTCTCAGATATATTGAAAAACTTTACCATTACTGTATTATGAAACCACAAAGATCTACTTATTACAGGTAAAAACTCTAATGTTTAGCTGGATTGCATCACAGAAGAAACATTAAACAGCTGTTAAGCCCTAGCTTTAAACACTTGAAATTAGTCTAATTCCCACCAGCTAAACAATTTTGAATGATTCCCTCTAAGCTTAAGAAGTTATTTTATTCACTTTTGTTTAAAAGGTTGTTTGTAAAAATGTGCTGAGGTCAGTATGGTGTTTTTTGTTCTAAAATTACTTGAAATAATTTTTTGCACTTATCGTTCAAATCAGTGAAACACAGCACTGAGCTCATTGCAGAAAAGCTATGAATTTTTAAAAACAGAATTATTAACTCACTTTGAAACCGTAATATCGTCGACATCGTCGAAACGGATTATCTGAAATTATGACAACAGTAATATATTTGGTTTTACTCTAACGATTGCAGAATCATTTAGTAATGAACTTTCTTCACATAAAGTAGATGAAAGTTGAACATCATCAATATCGGCACCACGAAAGATGACGTAATCTATATTTTTCATTGCGGTATCACCTCTTAGAGGTACTGTTGTGTTGCACATTCGTACTATATATAATGAAGTAACTGTTGTATACTCTACCTCTTTTTAAAGTGACCGTGCAGTGCTTTTCATCTATACTATGAAGAGCGCCTTCATATTTAAATCCAGCCCTGGAAGTGATCCTAACAATACTGACAGACATTAGAACGATAACGACAAAGGTATTTATTTCTCTTCACTCTTAAAGAGTAATGCATTTAAACAAAAGCCATATCAAATGTCAAATTTTGCCCATGAATGATTCCAACCACCACTTTCCTAGATTACTCGAATACACAATTATAAGGGTAGACTTTTGGTTGCCGATAATCTTCTAGATTCATAAGGACATTTCGCCAGCATGAGCGGGACTATCGCCCAAGTTTCATCTTAAGTATTTGAAAGGCTCGAATGGCACACCCGCTGTTTTTTTACTCTCCTCTTCACATGTGTTCCTCCTATGAATTTTTACTCTCTCTTGCCTTCTTGCTTCCACCAAAGTATTTTCAAGTGTTTCTTCTGGACTGTTGTCTCAAATGAATGACGATTTAAGGGCATAATCATGAAATTTTCTGTCAACATACATTCACAAGTTGTTGTCATCAATATCAAAACATGTGGTAAGGATTTCATCTTTTAAGAAGATGGCTGCATACGATCCATTTTCCTTTCGTTGTCAGGTTTTTAAATAAGGATCCTACGCTGACAGTGGCCCACTGGTTGATAATTATACCCTAAACCGTTTAGTTCATTCATGGCTTGATCAAGATATCTTCATCACTTCTAAGCCACAGACTTCCACAATTTACTTAAAAATTCTCATATGGCCTGTTCTCACTTTTCAGCATGAGCTTCGCAACTTGCTTTTCAGTCTACATTTTTAGTGCCATCGTAAGGTCCGCAAAACTCAGGAATCCACTGTCATTAAGACACAATTATTGAGTAACAGTTCAGTAGGATGAAACAAGCAACCAAGTAGGAATTATGTATTCTTCGTGATTTATCAGTTTCTCCTCACCCGCTGATATATAACGGGCAATAAACGCCAATAGGGGGGTTTGACTAGGTCTCCTCGCTTCATTAGCTCACCACTGTATCTTTAAAACCTTACAAATGCTTTCCTCAGCAGTACTGGTGGTCGATCGATAATCTGAGTGATTATTTCATTATAAGTATTGGTTATTAAACCGGTAAGCATGATTCACTCTCAGCAGGCCTCCTGTTTCATTATAGTTAAATGTGGCTTGTACATTTTTGAACTTCTTCAGTACTCACCGAAGATAAATCAAGCAAATTCCACCCATATAATCGGGAACCATGAATTACTTGTATAGATAACTACTTCGACTGGTACAGCATTAAGTCTCAGGCCACCAGTTTTAGGGACTTCTCAGATGAGCAGGCGGGTGCGTGGGTTTGCGTTGTAGCTCTCACCAAGTGGGGAAACATATCGATTGATTAGCGGTGAAATGATAATCTGGGAAACCGCCGAGTTATGCTACTTGAACGAGTTTGAGCTCAAATCCCGTTAGCTTCAACTAGAAATAACACCAGGGACTGTGACCACCTATGCTGGTTCAACCAAGAAAAGCGGACAATGCATGATGTCTCTTTATCCTGGCATACCAAATCAGGTGAACATGTTTCTCCTAATACTACCCAAACAAATTAAGTGAGTGTAGGGGACCGAAGAAGTTCGTCAACTTAACTAAACCTCAGCCGTTTAATCGTCAACGATCATTTTGTTTATCCATGTGGATGGAAAGACATGATGGAAAACACAATTTCCAATAGACAAGAGCTTGGCAGCTTCGCTGTGGGGTGATTATCCACTTGTATACTCTCTTCAAATCATCGTCAATATGTGCATCTTTCAGCAACGTAAGTGTTATATTCTCCCACCGCTAGTTGGAGTGGTGTTAAGAACCACTTGGCCATCAGGTCAGGTAGGCTGGGCTGAAGAGTCAGTGGGTGGTGTGGCTGTAGCTCAAACCTAGCAGGAATGATAGCCATAGCTCAATTGTCAGCGCAATATCTAGCCGAAACGAGGGCAGAGTCATTCAGGTAGCCTAATTAATTACTTTCCTAGAATGAAAATGAAATGCTCTGGATATTTGCAATATCAGTGGATCAGCTGTTGGGGTATATGTTGTAACTACAGGAAGGAAATCTTATTCATCACTGTGATCCTTTGTTATCATGATTGTCAGTGTTTGAGGTGGGTGCGACCAACTGATCAATGTGTAATAGACTTCCTAGACCGATAGGCTGTAGACTCATGTGGTGGGATAAACAGGTCGCTATACCATCGTTAAACTGGAAAGGCTGTGTCAGAAGCGTGTTTAGTGCAACTCTTATATAACCAGAATCATTCATGAAGTAGTTGAATTGGACACGAAAGTTTACTGCATTAAGTAAACTGAGGCAATGATGAGGTTGCCAGCAACAACACCAGCACATGTGCTTGGCTATCTTGTTCAAGGTAACTGTCATAGCTTGTGATTGTTCCACTTTGACAATAGCTATGATGGTGTATATCAGTGGCGTAGTCACTGGTGCTGAATTAGTTGGTGAAGCATTTCTTGATTGAAGTATTTAGTAGCCAGCACTGCTCGACTTTTGTAAGCGCGAACGGATTGAAAGGTGTCTATAATCATTCTGACTAGTGAGATCCAGAAGCAGTCAAGACTTCTAGTATAGTGCCAACCGTTAAACCGATTAGCTTGGCATTATACACGTGTCACACGAGTAGCCTGATCGGTGAGGTACTTAAACTGTTATCGCAGCACTCCTTTAAGATTTAGATACCGCTTAACAAATAAGGAATAACTTCTTTAGCTATGACGAACACGGAACTAAATGCGTAATTAAAAATTTATACGGACATGGGTGACATCTCACAGATTTAGTAACGTTAAAAAGTGCTGATGCTGCGTGTTTCACCGTTCTTTTCTAAACTGATCATGGTAAGTCGAGGTTCTACGCAACCATGGCTATAGGAAAACAACATACTATTCCATGTTAGCATGTTGCGATAACCTAAGTATTCATGAGTATTATTTGCTATGATTTAGAAAACTAGTTCACATTGGGAGAAAATTAGGTGATAAGACTGGCCTCAAAGTACCTAATTTACCGTGACATTCATAGTAACTAGATGAATCTAGCGAAAATGGATAATTCACTGAGGCTTGCGACAGTCTCATAATAAATACTACCTAAAAATTCAGAGTGGACTGAAACTCAGCTGGGTTACTTCCTTTTCTGAAAGTGTATCATCCAGCAGTATTTGTATATTATCAGCTTATATGCTTCCAGTGATCTGATTTGTAATAGCTGCCAGAAAGTGTAACCTTTGATAAGGAAATATTGGCTCTGAAGAAGCTTGTGGTTGAGTTCTAGGGCCTCGGCAACACGGTATTATACGGCCACTCAAATGTTGAAAATGATCGAGGCACTCAAAAGGATGGAACGAGCGATCAAGTAGGAATTATGTCCTTCCTGTGATTTGCAAGGCTTTCCTTATCTGCTTAATGATGAATACTCTTCCGTTTGTTCGAATAGGTCTTCCTCTCTTCGTCTGCTCTCGACAGCGCTTTTAAAAATAAAAGTTTACAAACACTGTTGGTCCTCTACAATGCTGCATATTGCCACTCCATAATGTGACAGTAAAGTCGGTTTCTAAATTGGTTAACCAGTTTTTCCTTCATATTTTTCTTACTCTTCCGTCCGGTTGACTACCGTCTACGTGTTTGTTTTGCTTTTGGGTGCTACTTGCAGTCGTTTCTTTGTTTTTTCTCCAGTTAATATTATTTAGTTCAATAGTTTCATCCATCAAAATGCCTCATTTCCCATGCATAGAAACTGACCATAAAAAATTTTCTTCTCCTCTCCGTTACAGAAAACCAGTGTGTACGGCGGTTGCTTCAAAGAAAGTTCATGGGAGGTGGATCCCTATCACAGTTCTTGCACCACCTACAGCTGCTGGTAGAGAACAGCATCGTACTGGAGCAAGGTTAGCTGTAAGCCCTCCAGAGCACTTGCAACAAGTACTAGACGCATAAGATCAGTTAACACGCCTCGCTGACCGGATGTTTTAGCGGAGACGACCTGCAGAAGAGCAGATGAACTGTATGAGCACAAGCGAAGACGTAATAATCTAAGAACTAGTGGTCAAAGTTAGGTCATTATCGGAAGAACTGGCACAAAAGCAACTATCACAGGGCATGCGAGGTGGATCACCTAATAAAGCACGTTCTCCGACAAACAATAGGCCCGGACAAACTAAGTCAATGGGCAAATTCTGATATTATCGCTGAATGTTTCGCGTTCCATCGACAAAATGCACACAACTATGTGTCTAGCCTAAACTACGTCGCAAGAAACAGAGGAATGATGGAACCCTACTTAGGTGGCGAAGGGGCACATGGAAAGTAGCCCAATCTGCTTCAAAGATAAAAATTCTGGTATAGACTGCTTGGTTGATGCAGAAGCCACCCTCAATATCACACAAAGGGCAAGGGACGATTAGGGACGGGAAACGTCAGCTGTCACGCTACAGGTCTCCAGTGAAAACCAGATTGCGAGGTTCATGCAGAAAACACTGACTCTTGAACTCGCATTTAAGCAAAAGCTCTCGCCGATATAGACCAAGCAATATTCGGCATCGTTTTTCTGAAAAGATATGACATATTAGTGGATACCTGGTATACAGTCGGTGAGGCGAGCGAGCACCATTCGTTGAATCTAGTTCAGTCTCTTCCAATGCCAACTGGAATTTTCCGGAATATACTAGTGGAGTTCCCAATTCTAATGGCAACCAACCCTCAAACTTCTAAGGCTGGCCCAAAACTTGCTCATAATCTAAGAATATATGGCCCTCCAGTATTTGCCAAGCCGAGAAGATTGGCACCAGACAGGCTAAAAATAATGAAAGCCGAATTTGATTACATGCTTCAGTCGGAGATTATTCGGTCTTCGAGTAGTTGGTGGCGTCGGTGGAACAGCGGTTAGGACTCTCG